AAAGAGCACAACACTAAATACAAAAACTTATGTGAAAGACACCTAATTTGAGATCGGGTATTTTAAGATTAAGTTTTCATAATGCTGTATCTAATCTGACAGAGGTTTAAGCAGATAGATACAAACTATTGTGCCTCTATGCTCAATAGCACTTCCAAGAAAACGGATCAAATGAAAAGACACTGCACACGCAAAGAAAATATGTGTATGACTGAAAATGGTAAAACTGGTCGAAGAAAAATATGAAATCAGGCTTCCAGAGTTTTCATCAGTATCACAATGGGTGAGCTAGTACAAGTTAAAAAATGGGGGGGGGAGGGTGTATCGAGGGAACAGACTGAAGAAAGAGAATTCACCCAACTATCTGGGGAACATTAGGGTTTTTATTATAAGAGATGCTATACCCAAGGATTTAGATATTAGAGGGCAAAAGGTTTAGATTTAGCATATGTTACTTACCCCCTCCATCTAAGTACTCAAAATAAGGCACCTAAATAAAGACAGCTTGTTTCAGGATTGCACATGGCCAGCTCTCGCTGCATTGAAAATATTCATAGTTTCAATGTACACTTGCAGCAATTTATGACTATACTTGTCTCCATTTCCCATGCACACTAAGTCATATTTTAAGCACTGATTTGAGCAAGACACTGAGAGGGTTCTGAACAACCACTTGGTGGAAGGAGCTCAGTGTGCACTGGAGAAGATGGGAAACAGCAAACGACTGAAGAACCATAGGCATTGCCTCTCCGCTGCAACAGGCTGGGTACCAGGGCCACAGCACGCTGGACTACTACTCAGCAGCAAAGCCTCAGAAAAGTGCAAGAACAGAGGAGACCAGAGGGCATTTCTAAGGAACAAAGCTCTTAAGGATACAGAGTTAAGAGAAACAAGACCATAGCAGCCGGAAATTTTCTGACCAGCTCTACGTAGATCCTCAGTAAATCCAGAGGAGAGCAGTTTTTCTGGTCATGCTTTGATTCCCGTTGTTCAGCACAATATCCGAACTTTACAGAAAAGTACCTGAAAGCTAACTGCAAGACTATACCCACAGGTGGGTACAAAATTAGAAGCAGTTATACAAGTAATCAAAGGGCAAGAAATGAAGCCATTTCATGGATTTAAAACCATAAAGAAATAGTCAATTAGTAACATCATAAGCGTAAAACTAGCATGGTACCATTTGAGTGAAGCTCAAATCAGGTTATAGTAAAGACACATTTACCAATTATCTGAAAAGACTTCATAGCATGGTGATAGCCTGTGAAGATTATAAAAGTGATCTTTCAAAGCGTAACAGTGAAGCTTAATAATTGGACAGAATATTAGATTCATTTCAGAACAACGTATGCCAGAAGGAATGAACTGAAGAAACCAGCTAAAAAAAATCAGGAAATACCAGAGAGAGTTCCAAGATAACACATACTGAATACTTCGTCATCATGAAAAGCAGAGTTGTTAGGAGGAACTACGCAAGTGAAAGCAAGTATTTGGTATTGTGTCAAAATGACAAAACAGTTTTTAAGATGAGGAATACGTTTAGCAATTGTACCTGTATGATTAAATCCTAAACTAAAAAGATATAAACATCAGTCTCCAGCACTTGAGATGTGAGACAAGGACTAGCTCCTTAGCATTAACAAGGATGGATGATACTCAGTAATTGTGTCAGCAAAGATAATAGCCTAACTCCTCAAATAGTTATTCCTTATTTAAGACAAAACCACTCTACAAGGTAAACTGTTGATCTGATCCAGTATAGCCACGGTGTTCTACAGTAACCATATTGTATCCATTTGAGTGTCATCTAACTCATTTTATATTTTTTTAATATATTTTCATATGTGAAAATAAAGCATAACAGCACTCTGCTCACACTTTAAAATCAAAATCTTAGCCCAGAGGTAGGCGATCTGACTGAAATGCTCTTGTGGGAAAAACATAATCACTGTAGAGTTTACGGCTAAATTAGGATACTATAAATGACCATACCTTGGCAAGCCACAGTTACACAGCCCTGCTTTATCTAGCATAAATATAGGCTCTTGCTGAAGGGAGCAAGAACAAATGATTGGGGATATACAGAAGCAGGAGGAACCACTTATTGCGCTTAACAGATGAAACATGCCCAATTAAAAATTGTCTAATTTAACACCAAAAGGAAAAACTGGATCCACCAAAGGATTTTAATTAAATACATCTGACTTATCTTAAACTAACAAAACAACAGACTACTTGTTGTTTTACTATGCTGCCATTTGCTGAAAACTAAACACATGATTTTTCCTATGTAAAACTATTGCATAAATTGGGCTACATCTTTCTTCAATGACTAAGACTTATTACAATGAAACAGATGTTATTAAAAACTGTCAGCACATAAAAGTTGCACTCATTTCTTTTTAAAAAAAAAAACAGTTCGAGGAACGTAAGTCTTTTCTATACAATTCACAAAAATTAACCTTCTTCCAAAAGGAAAACTAAAACAGAAACAGCAGCACGTTAAAATGGCTGATTTAGGAAAATAGAAAATAACCATTTGGAATCCTTCTCTCTGCTCTTTAACATACATACATAAATAAATAAATAAGAAAGAGACAGAAACCTCAAAAGCATCAGCTTGAGTGGCAGAAATAACCTAGAAGTCTTAACAAAGAATCATCATCACCAACTGTGTTCAGACACGGACAGAGCTCCTGCCATACACATTCTCTATGGAGAGAGAACATGTCTATTATAAACCTTAAGCCTGAAGTACAACATGTGAAATATCTTTTTGTGTTTTTCCGTTAATATTTCTTCCTTTCTCAGTGCAAAATAAAGTTTAGCCAGTTCACCACCATTTACACAGTCTTACCTTCCTTGACACGATAAAGCATCGTTAGTGTGTCATCACTGGTCAGAGCTGTAACATGTAGGTTATTTACTGTTGGCACTTGGTCAGCAAGAGCTGTCAGTTCGTGAAAATGTGTAGCAAACATACAGAAAGCACAGATTTTGCTAGCAATGTATTCTGAAATAGCCCATGCTAAGCCAAAGCCATCGTAGGTAGAAGTTCCTCTTCCCAGCTCATCAATGATTATCAGGGAGTTTTCGGATGCTGTCCTACAAACACAAGAGCATTTTATAATGTTTGAGAACAGCATGAACTCTGGATATTGGAGTGCCACAAGTCATATTGCAGAGGCATAACATAAAAGAAGTGAAAGACCTTTCCTATTTATATAACAACATATGAATGAAGTGCACACAGTGTCACGCAGATCATTCCAAATGTGCTTCTTTGGCCCATTTAGACTTTAACCTCCTGGTAGTAGCTCTATATGACCACTGAAATAAACAGAAGGCTACTTCACGAACTTACGAACTGCTAAAAAGGACTTGAGATCCTCTACTGAGATCCTACATAAAATGAAATCTTAAATGTATCTTCCTTGGAGCACTTCCTTTCCCATCAACCCCAACCAACACAAATAAGCACAGGACTTACCTAAGGATTGAAGCAGTTTCTAACATTTCAGCCATGAAAGTAGACACGCCTTTCAGCTGACTGTCTCCAGCTCCCACCCGCGCCAGGATACAATCCACAATGGTTATTTCTGCAGAGTCACATGGTACAAAACACCCAATTTGGGCCATAAGAACAATCACCCCCGTCTGTCGGATGTATGTTGATTTTCCCCCCATGTTAGGACCTAAAGAAGAAATTTTGCAAATTAATTAAAGAATTAAAAAAAAAACAAAACACCCTTTTACAATTCATCAGCTCTTTTAAAGGAGAACAGGCTCTAAATTAAAACAAAGAACAATTAATCTTATCATTCTTTTGCCAGGAAAGAGGAGCAGACTTGTCTAACAGGTGCAACAAGTACCTTCACTACTAATAATGCTTGCTTGTATGTCTTATTGAAAGCTGCTTTTTCAAAAGAAGGGTGATCAGACAACATTAGGGGCTTCATGAGTTTTGGGACTTTTCAGAAGCTTAAGCAGTCATCTAAAACACATGTCCATACCTAAAACTAATAAGTTTTAAATTAAAAGTCATCAGTATTGCTGCTTAAGAATGAAAATAATTTGCTTTCACCTCAAATAACAATTTGTCTGTAAAAATGAAATAGTTTAGTTACAGGCTGGGTACAAGCTAATGGGTGATTCAAATTACAATCTAAAGGGATTCTGCATCAGCAAAACCAGATATTAAGAAGTTAATTTTAACTGAAGTACAAATGAAATTAAAAGTATTTTCCAGAATACTGATCATTAAAACCAATTTTACACTTTTGCTAACCGGAAAAACAAGCGTGTTACCACACATTTATTCAGATTTTTAGTTTTTCTTTTTGATTACGTTAGAAGTGTTCATTAATCATTCTCTAATTTCAGATCTCTGCTACTCAGAATGTATGTCAAGGACATCTGGATGGAAATTAAAATTCAATTAAATGTATAAACACTAAAAATGTTTTCCTGTGTAGCAAAATTATCTTAATTACACCAGAGAATAGGGAAAAAAAAAAGGGTACAGTCATTAAAACATGTTTTGCATTTAAAATCAACTTTAACGCTAAACAAAGAAAACATTAACAGAGAGGCTGCTTAAAATTTTGCCTACAGAAGGTGCCTGCGTGGCTACAGTAGAATTGATGCATAGTGGAATTTTCCAAATCACTTAAGCAGGTTCAGATTCTTCAGCTCCTGAGGTTGCCTGGCTTGTGGCATTCCATTGACTAAGCCAAAGAATACACATGTTAAAGAAGGACTAGTTTCTTATTTCCTACTGTCCTAGCAGCCTCTCTCTCCTTCCCAAATGACTATTTCTAAATTAGTGATCACTTTCTCCAAACAGTGCACTATAACTACAATCATAACAACTAATTCCATGACTATTAGTTTGGAAGATGAGAAATATGCCTGTATGTGCATAAGCATGTAGAATATCCACTATCAAAGGAAACATTCCACAAGAATATTGTGGACACTTTCTTTTTTTTTAATATAATAAACAGCAAAACCTCACAAATACCCTCTCTTTGACAGAGCTAAATCTTATCCCCCATACAGAAAGATGAATAACTTGCTAACTGCTCACCCTTTGCTGATTAGAGAAATTGTTTTGACAGAGTTTTATTGGGTTGTTGGTTTGCTTGCTTGTTGTCGTTTGTTTTTTTTTTTTAAAGACATCATTATTGGAAATACTTGAGACATTTAAAATTTAAATAAAAAATGAAAAAAAGAACAGAAACATTTACCAGTAATAATGTGGAACATCTGCTTGCCCTTCTCAAATGTAATGTCGTTGGGGATGAAGGCCACCTCATCTTGCACTTCGATGCAGGGATGCCTGGCACCTTTCAGCGCAATCCTCCCTTGCCCCTTTTCCAGAATGACAGGACGGACATATGGCACTGGTGCTCCATTTGACACATGAGCAAAACTGACAATTGCATCTAATTGAGCTATTACATCATTCATCGTCTGTATTGGTTCTGCATAACCTGTTTTTGATTAGAGTGACACAAATTCAACAGTTAGAAATTCTTTTGTTCTTGTTGAAAAGATATCTTAAAGCCTATACTGAGCCCATAAAATTAATTAATCTGCATTAAAAGTTAATTTTGTTTAAGACAGCAGTCACCTTCTGTGAGAATCTAAGATGAAATCCTAAAGTTTCCATGCTTTGACTACAAAGGGGACTTCTTCAGACTAGGAAAAGGAAGAGGTGAGGTGTTGATTGTTTTACCTTAACACTAGACAACAAGAAACAGCTTAACTTAGTAGGGGAAGGCAAATGCTCACAATGGCAAGATGGCTGGAAATAAAATAGGTTTCCTTCCTCAATAATACACTGCATTTTGATGCTCATGCAAGCAAAGACAATAGAAACACAGCACAGACAGTTCAGACACAGCAACCATTTATGTTTTAGGGGAGAACTTTGTAGAGTAGGATAGATGGTTGGACTTGATGATCCCAAGGGTCTCTTCCAACCTAGACAATTCTATGATTCTATGTTTCTGTGAAAGACGGTATGGAGAGATCTGTGAAATGCAGAGTGTGTGGTACCAGGCAACTAGATTGGACGGCCCAGGATCCCCAGTACCAGTTCTTAAGTTTTGGTGTTTTGTTTTGTTTCAGTGAAAGGGATGACAGACAGGAGTCTACAGAGGTAAACCATCTAACACCTGCAAATAGGACGCGTGTGTCAGAAGAGGTAAGCAGTGACCTGCAGAAAGAGTCCTACCTGTACAAAGTATGTTTACTGTTCATCATCTCGAACTGGGTAGGTATAGATCATTAAGAGGACTTTAAGTCACTTGCATTCAAGAATTACACACATAATCCAGTCTTTTTCATTAAATTGCTTCCACGTGGGAAGAAAAATGCTTTTTAAATACACATATACACTTGTAAGTCTATGACTACACACCACAGAAGCTTTCAGCAGCAGCAAAAGACTTTCTTAAACATACCAGGTATTTATAGATGACATATTGAAGCTAATCCCACTATATAATACCCAATTAGCTTTCCACATAAGTATACAAACCTTAGTATGCTACAAACAAAAAACATCACTTGAAAATTACCAAGATATGACAAAAAATATCTAATAAGCTACTAATTTTGCAATATACTGGCAAATTTCGCAACATGACAACAGGTGAAAGCTTACGAAGATTTCCACCGTAACTTAATACACACTCAAATGTATTGATACATCATCTTAAGAAGTGCTTTTTTATCTTTAATATATATACCCTTAGCTTAATATTCATTAGTGCTTTCACTTCCCACTTCTCTCTTTCAGAAAACCAAGATTTTTTCTGCTGGAACCAGTGACCTTGGGAGAGGCAATATTTACAGAATCCTCCAGCCCAAATTCTCCAATGTCTCTTCTCCTTTTGGTGAAGAATGGTAAAGAACGCCCTGTAAGTAGGCAATCTTGGAACAAAATATATAGAAATTAATTAGGAAAACAGTAATTTTTTTATTGTACGATATAAGTGATGACTAACTAGATCTCATATTACCCACCAACTTTCCTTCTTCACCATCCTTCACAGACCTCAGGTCTCACACCTTCAGTTCTCTGTTGTCTTTTACCTCTTCTGCCTTATACTTCGTCTGTCATTTGGGTGGGGATGCCCGCAGTCAGGGAGGTAGGTGGAGGACAGATGTGGCCTTTATGGGCATATTTTTGTCCCTTTTATGGGATTAGGACTTGCACACACCCCATCACTGCACATTTGTAGCAATGCCAGGAAAGGGTCTGACCACAGAAGGCAACGTATTTCAAACTTTCAACAGCTGTCTAAAAGCCAAACCTCATTTTTCACACTAAGTCTTTGGGGAACATTACATTTCTTTTCTACAGAAGGATCTACAAATAACTGCAAGTCCTGCCAGCATTCCAGATTGTGACAGACATCAACACTGACGTATTCACCTGAAGCAATGTTAATGATTTCCTTAACAATTGCATCCTGAGCCTCTTCATACTCTTCTCTGTTCTTTATATATTCGTCATTGACGGAGCTGAGTTTGCTGTGAACAAAACCACAATATTTAGAAGCTGTGATGTTCTGTCTTCACTGCTACAACGCCAAACTTCTGGCATCCTTATCTATGAGTCAGTATCAGTTGCCCCCACCTGTTTTAACAGCAAGGTTCAGCACAAAGACCACAAAGCAGCTAATCTACAATTCATCCACACCAGGATATCAGTAAGATTAATTCCAAGTTGAAGATCACCTACAAGGGCCAAATCAGCAATTCTAGCATCTCTGAACACATAATTGTTAAAAGTCTTACAGTAGTTGTTTGTTGTAGACAGGCTATGTGGTAAGGACTTGCTCTTAAAGCTGAATTTCTGGACAGTTTGCAACAAGATGTGGCAGTTATAGAACTGGCAGAGGAGAACTGCTGCTAAGCAACCGTGCAATTAGCCCAGAATCCTACAGAACTGTCCTACAGGCTTATGCTGAAGGCATTGACCTCCTTCATTTAGTAAAAACCTCAGTGAACTACTGTCACTAAGAACAGGTTCTAGTCTTCAAAATAAAGTAAATTGAAATCAAGAGAGAGTTTAAACAAGTGTTTATTCTTCTCAAGCTCATCTCTGAACACAGAGCAGAGTCTGCAAGACTGAATACAAAAGATACCCAAATAGTGCACTCACACTATAAGCAGAAGTCAGCCTTGTGTTTCTAGTACCATCTACACAAGCGACTGTAACTTAACTAAGCACAGAAAAGTCTGTTTTATTAGTGATCCATGAGCTTCTTCCCTAAGGGAAAGTAACAGATGACAATTACAAGTATCACCTTCTCAGTTACTGAAAAGCCTACCTTCATCATTACACTTAGATTCATAACATATTTAGAACAAAAAAAAAGCTGTTTTAAATTTCAGGGATGTTTTGAAAAAATATCCTCCGAGTATATGTTAAAACAAAATGCAATTAAGGTTTATCCTCCATTCATTTAAGTAAATTGGTAAGAAATACACCAACATATTGGTTGGTGTGAACCAATATGTTTGCCCTCCTTGTCAAAGCAAAGGATTTATTACTTATGAAAGTGAGTGAATAACAGAAACAGTCACTATTAGTAATATCACTGGCTTGAAGCCAACCTTGCCCTGTAGGCAGTGCTCCTCATACATGTCTGTCAATCAAGATTTCTCTCAATAAACTCACTTGTCTGATGCTAACTCCAGCAGGAACTGTTACACATAAAGTGATAGCAGCACTGTTTGTCTGAAACAGACTCCATAATCTATTAATCTCTGCTATTTTTACCCTTCCATATATAACACATGCAGGAGACTTAAAGACTAGTTTTCTCCTGGACCTGCCCCTGACAGACAAGGAAGAACATGTCAGGGGGTTGAAGTCCAATTATTGGCTGATTATTAGCAGCATTTCTTAGCGTTGATACTGGGGCTGATACTCTTTATGTCTTAATTAGCAACTTGAATGAAGGGACTGAACGCACTGCCAAACACAATCTCACCAAGGTTGTGAACAATACCACATTAAGGGGAGCTGTCAGTACGCTGGAGGACAGGGGATATCTATTCATTGGGATATCTACAGACTAGAGAAATAGGTAGACAAGAATTTCAACACAGGCAAACACTAAGTTCTGCACCTGGGATGAAATAACTCCATGTAACTGTACAGGCTAGAGTCCAAATGGCTATAAAACAGCTATCCGTAACAGTTGGGGGACCTGGTGGATAAGCAGCTGAACATGAGCCAGCAGTGTTCCCCTAAGGCAAAGGTCAAGCATATACTGGCTGTGCTGGCAAGAGTGTAGCCAGCATGTCAAAGGAAGTGATTCTTCCCCTCTGTTCAGCACTCATTAGACCACATCTGCAGTGATGTCCCCAGTTTTGTCTTCCCAGTGTAAGATACATCAAACCTGGTGCAGATGACCACCACAAAGATTTGGAGCTGGGGCACGTGGCATACAAGGACAGGCCAAGAGAGATGCCTGCCCAGGCTGAGAGACTCTGAAGTCAGCCTGGAAAGGAGAGGCACCAGACTCTTCTTGAAGGTGCGCAGCAGAAGAACCAGACACTAAAAACCCAAGCTTCTGCAAGGAAAATTCATTAGATCTGATCAGGAAAGTTTGCACAAAGAGTGCTTCAGCACTAGAACTTGTGCCCCACTAAGCTGCGAAGGATGCTCGAAGGACCGGCACCTGGGCAAGGCCTTGAGCTACCTCATCTAACTTTGAGATAGCATCTAATTTCCAAGGTGGCTCTGCTTTGAATGAGGGGCTAGAACAGTTAACCTCAAGAGGTCGCCTTCAAGTTAAGTTGTTATCTGATTCTGCATATGCAAATTTCTACTTTGCTCTGTGTAAAAATAATGAAATACAGAGAGAGAGACATCTGATGCCCTTGCTCCTTCTGAAACACTCAAGATGAGCTAAAAATTCAACAAAATATACTTTTTGCTTGGCTGACCTGTGACAGACCTGCTGCCCAGACAAGGAGACAGTGAAACAGCATCAATCCAGTTAGCCTGAAAACTGAAATTTTTAAATAGCTTATTCTATAGAGCCACAGAATCAAAGTCCAATAGATAGGACCAACAGAAATTACAGTGTGTTTTGGAACAACAACAAAAAAAGAAGGTAATCACCAAAACTGCTGCATGTTGTATTTGGTGATAAACTTAAGTAGCTCTTTTCCTGTTGCAGCTTGTGAAAGTGTCTGTATGAACACTCACGGTGAACGCAATTACTCTACTAGGTGCTTCTAAAACAGAGAAATTAGCCCAAGTCAAAGGACTAAAAATAGCTAACAGTTGGCAAACTAAGTGGGGAATGCAGCTTTTAAGAGAAACTGTAGGACTACTCCTCCCTCATGCCAGTCTTGCTCAATATCTCAATCTGTGAGTCAATTA